CTTGAACTTGATATCTGGGTTGGCTTCCTCATGCCATTCCATCCCCAAAATCACGTCAAACGACAATTTTTTTTCAACAAGGAAATAAATTTCATGCATTATCTTTTTCCTGTCCCTCGTATGGAAACGACACTTCACACGATCAACATATTGTGCAACAGTGATTTTGCTTTTGTCAGCCAGGATAGACGTGATAGGTCGAGATAAATTCTTTACCTTCATTCCGAGATGCAATTTGCGGATTGTTTTCTCGGATACTTAGGATCGCGTAGATCCTGAGTCTAATAGTGCACCCGCACGTGCATATGCGATTTCTATATCTGCGAGTAATAGTTCACCCTTAGACTTTGTTTTCTTAGCTCACGAGCTTCGTAATGCTAGCAGTTCGTTACTAAGCTCGTCAAGGGAGTCGCCCAGAGAGACATAACATAAGACAGGTTCAGGGTGTTCTGGACGATGAGCTAGAGAAGAACCATCCTCTGCCATGTGAGTCGAAGGGTTGAAAGGGTTAGTAGGCGCCTTACCTTTCTCGTCATCTAAACCCTTCAACTCAGTAGGACCAGATGATACTCCTACTGGCGACTGACTTTTGGGTTCCGAATTAACGGGCACCATGCAATCACATGCCCCGTAGTCCCGCATTTCAGGCACTGCGCGTTGTCCATCCGGTCTTACCAAGTCTTTTGGTCAATGTTCATTTTCTTCCAGGGCCTTCCGACTGCAATACCGGGATGCTCCGGGAACGACCGCGGTCTCCTCCTTACTCCTGGTCGTGGTCCTTCTTTTTTAACCATAGCGGCAGTGACGTCCCCTTTTCTTGACTCATTGCCGCTTGCCACACCCTCGGCCTCCAATGACCACTTCTCCACAGGTTCGTCGTCAAAGATGACGAGGGTGTGGTCCTGACGCTTTTGGCGTCAGAGTACTTGCTTACCTGTTCCTGCACCTGCACCACCACCATATTTCATAACAGATGCATAGGTGTTTTTCACCTGAGAAGTCATTTGCTCTCTCTGGAGAGCCAAATCTCGAAATTGCCTATAGTTATACTTTCCTGACTTTGACTCCGCCACAAGCTGACCACGCACGGGCTCGAGCAGAGCACGGGAGTATATATACAATACCTGATTGTCTTGTAAGTTCAGTCCTGGAACTTGTAGCAACCGATCAACCTCCCTGGATAAAGCTTCCATCGAGGTCCAATGTTTTTGTCCAATGGTCGTGAGCTGGTCGAAGGCTTAGTTAGTCGTTGTCTTGTCAAGGAAACGTTCCTTGATCTTCCCTAGGAACTGTTTCAGATTCAGTGTCTCAACCCACTCCCCAATATCATCGAACCCGGCAGCGTTGGTTTCGGCCAAAACCCATTCCTTAGCCTCCCCCCCTAGGCATGAAGTAGAGAAGGCTACCTGGGACTCGGGCTCAACAGGGGTCGTACTACAATAGGTCTGTATCTCAGCAATCCACAATAACAAATTTTCATCCTTTTTATTATAGAATGTAACGGGCAATTTCATTTTGACTTTATCCTTCTTCTTCGGTTTCTCAGGTTGTGCAGAACCCTCTTTCTTTCCTTTCGGGGACCCTGGCGGTGGACTCGGTGGATCCGAAGGTTCTCCTTTCTTCTCTTCGGATTTCTTCTCTTCCTTCTCGTCGGTTTCCACTTTGAGATGTTTCATGGCATCTCCCATCAGTCTCTTTGGTTTCTCTTCGGTCCTCGTCTCGATCACCCAGTTTTTTTTTTTCACCAGGTTTGTGACAGGCTGCAAGCCTGCTGTAAGTTCATCAATTTTCAAACCTTGTTGTTCAATCTTCATTTCAAGGTGAGCAAGATAGGTGACAAGTTGGGTCAGAGAAACTGCCTGTTCTTCTCCTTCAGTTATTATCACGTTCTGTCTAATCTCAGTTATCTTTTGTTCTTGTTGTTCATTTCTTGCACGTTCTATCTTCATCTCTTCTTTCGGGTTCCTTTTTTTTGCAAGAGCTTCCTCCAGCTATCGAATATTCTCATCCACTGTCTCTTCTGTCACAGACACTTCTTTCTTTTCACTGCCATTAGCAATCTCAGTGTACTGGTCCATGATGTACTTATTAAGTGTCTGACGACACTTGATGAGTACCTCCTAAACTTGCATGACATCGCTGCAAGTCTCAGGTGCCTCGAGGGCAGCATGTGTTGCCTTAAGGTTGTACAATGCCCGGACATGGGCTTCTGCCTCAGCACCGGCCTCATGAAGTTCAGTGATCAATATGTTCAAGCGGGCGGTTAGTACTTTCTTCCGCTCTTCCACTTACCGTCTGGTTAGAACGTCAGACAGTTCTTCGGTGATCTGAGGAGTGCTTTCAGATTAAGACATGTTGAGATATATTTGTTGAAAAATAAACAATTAACTATCAATAGTAAATTTTAGAGCAGCACAGTCCTAACTATAGCAAGATTTATTGTAACTAAAAGAGAAAAATAAATTTAAGTTACTACTAATATTGTTCTTGTTCGTAGTCTGTGTGACGACGTCCTATTAAGATTTTGACGGGTACCACTTCAGGCCGTGTGATCAGATACACACACAAGTGAGTACGCATGGCACCACAACAAGCAACACAAGGTAAGTATACCAACATCAATCAATGACAATATGTTAGTATCCTTCTTCTTCCCTGCGTCAATACTTGTGCCAATACGTTACAACACCCCAATCAACGGTTGGCACTACAACTGTTCAAGCACCATCCAATCAGCTGTACCGCCGTTGTCGTCGGAATGTAATCTCTCACTCAGGCAACATCTTGCCTGCCATGTGTCATTTCCAGCATACCAACATGGCAAACAACCAAGTCAGCAGTGTCCAATCAATTAATGCTGGGATGCCACGTTAGCAATGTGTTTTCTGTCCTCCCCACATGCTCCATCCACGTGTATTGTGATACTGTACTCAGACCAGCCAATCGAAACATTGCCACATCAGCTGGAGGGCACTCATCGTGAACACGGCGGCCCTCTACTGCCAGATCAACCCAAGGAGTAATGCCACGCCAGCAGGTGATCACCACATCAGAAGACAAGTGCGGTAATCCTCTCTTGCCACGTCAGCAATAAGCACCTCCAAGAGTCACAAAAGCTTTTGCGCAGGATCTGATCGCATGTTAGAGACAAACGCGACAATACTTGCCACGTCAGCAACCAGATCCTGAGACGTGGCACATCACATGCCAGGTCAGCAGATAGTCGCGATCTTCTATAGCGATCCCGACTGGTATATCTGCGTCAGCAATACTCTGCTCGCCAGCAATCTTCGTCTTCAACAGCAGAACTTCGTCATCATTATCTCGCCACGTGTGCAGTCCCTACTTACCTGGCGCCACCTGGCGCTTGCACACGTAGGCCATCGTCGTCGTGTCGCAATCAGGAGTACAACTCTGATACCAAATTGCAATGAACCCAAGTCATGAATACGACAGTTGACAATGCAAGTTTAGATTATCGAGCCGCTGATAGTTCCAATAATCAAACAGTATCCAGAAAGAGAGAGGGGTGATATACTCATACACAGACGAAGAGGAAGGAGGGAGGAAAGACAAGGGAGAGGAAATCATAATGCCCACTCCTTCTCCGGGCTCCTTCCTTTATCACCACCTACAGTAACCAGTAATCTGAACACATATCGCAGTCCTGTCACAATGTGTCACGTGGCACCTTGTTAGACCATAATCAGCGCTGGAGCCTTGTCAATATGAAGAATCCAGGTACGTATCACAACCTCCTCACGATCCCGATCTCCTCCTGAAGTGATGATACWACAACCTTGATATCTCCCTGAAGTGATGACTGAACAGAACAGCAATACCAGTCACATAATGTCGCCACCTCAGCAATATGTGTCCTACGTGGCAGCGGCCACGTCAGCAACGGCGCGTGGCAGCTGCCACGTCAGCTAGCCCAGGAGACAATTGCCAGCCAGCCTCAATGTCGGACAAGCAGAGCGCCGTCGTCTCTCGAAATAGCAACCACTTGCCAGCGTCCAACCAGCGTCGCAGCATTAAGCCAGCGTCGCCTTTTGCGTCATAGAGTCAACTTGGACTCAAGGCAGAATGAATGAATCTCAAAGCGAGGGAGTCCACGCGTATGTAGCGTTGACTCGGGGTCTGGACCCCGACTGCTGCAGACTACAGCCGTCCAGATCTCAACACCGGTAAGGGTCTGGATTGATCTGAAAATGTATCCTCTTCGGCCTGGATGCATGTCTTGGTACCTGCGCACAACAAGTGGATGTATCCAACCAAGAGCCTGTCGTGGTACCTTTGACTTGACAGTTGTCTTTGACTCTTGAATTTCCTGAGCCTAGCACTTGGTCCCACAGCCGCGTGCGGCCTTCTCAGATCTGGGCATGTGCTGGTCACACAGCCCAGCGCAGACCTGTTTTGGTCTGCGTGGCCTGGGGCTGAGTTCTAGGCCCCGGGCTACTTTGAACAGGGTTATTACAGAACCTTGTTAGGGGCTTTTGGGCCTGTGGCTTTTCTTTTTTGGTTTGTTTGGCTTTTGGTCAGCAATGTTTGTTGTGGCAAGGTCAATGTCTTTGTTAAACCCAAAGACTGCAACTGGTTAAGTATACATTATTCCGCGAGTGATGAGTTAACCCGACCGGCGTATGAAAGAACAAGAAAAGTTGTGGCAAGGTCAGGTTTTCAGGACAGCAGCCTGTGTAAGGCCTCCTCTGTTCCTAGATATTACCAGACCTGGGTGTTTCGAGCAAAGGCTCGTAAGCTAAACTGGCTGATGCTGCCAGGATAACTCCGGGTGGAATTGTGAGATCCCCGGCCTCCTTTTACCTGGTTATAATGAATTGTTTTCAAAAAAAAAAAAAAAAAAAAAGTGGTGTCGAACGAGGCTCTAAGTGACAAAGGCTGGCACATAGGACGGCTTTTCTTGACAGACCTGATTTCTTACCCAATGGAAAACGAGAGCTCTCGCCTTCTATGCTAATGCTATACTTCGCAGCCGGCAGGCCTTCATTTGACCACGCGGCATTTCCCCAAACAGAAAGCTCCGCTAAACGACAAACACCAACCGCAGACCCTTGGCTGCGTTTACGGAGGTTTCATCGCTGCTGCGTGTGCCATCAGCGCCTTGTCGACCTTTTCGAGATAAGCCGGCTTGGCGTTTGTCCGCGTCAGCTTTGTTTGTGGTGGGGTTGGGCGGGGTAGACGGTAGGCAGCCATGGCGTTTGCAGCAGCTGCTTTTCGCGGAGTCGTTGTGTTCTCGTCGGCAACCCGAACTCCCATGCTCCGCGGGGAGCTGCAATGCCGTCGTGGTGCTTTAGCGCGGGCAATCTCGTCGCCCATAGCCGGCTTGAGGTCCAGCTTTCTCCCTTCTCGCTCTGTCAAGCCAGCGTCAGCTGCTCTCACAGGTACGTCCTCCTCATCCGAGCCACCTTTTTCAGCTTGTTTCGCAAAGTCCCTTCGCTCCTCTGTCTCTCTCTCATTTTTCTCTCTCCCCCTCTCTCTTTTCTCTCTCTCTCTCTCTCTCTCTCTCTCTCTCTCTCTCTCTCTCTNCTCTCTCTCTCTCTCTCTCTCTCTCTCTCTCTCTCTCTCTCTCCAGCTGTTGCGTCTCAACCTCAGTTTCCGACTCTCTCCGTGTCCACAGGAGCGATTAATCCAAATTCTCTTTGCATGTGGTCACCACACAGCAGGCTTTTCGTAGCGTAATTCACCTTCTTTCTCGGCGCCGAGTGCCATAGAACGTCTCCCCTCTTACACCTTACCGCGATACCGCTGATGCTCCGGGTGTATCTTTAAGGAAGTGTTGATTGCTCTCTCGCTCTCTCTGTGCTCCCTGTATGCTCCCTCTTCTGGTTCCTTCCCTCGTCTGTCCTGTCTCATGCGCCACATTCTCTACGGAACAGGTGGAGTGCAGGAGGAGGGGATTCGCGCGCGAGGATCATTAGTTAGTCCACTTCTTTCTCTCTCTCTCTCTCTCTCTCTCTCTCTCTCTCTCTCCGAGTTCTGTCTCTCTCTCTCTCTCTCTCTCTCTCTCTCCGAGTTCTGTCTCTCTCTCTCTCTCTCTCTCCGAGTTCTCTCTCTCTCTCTCTCTCTCTCTCTCTCTCTCTCTCTCTCTCTCTCTCTCTTTGAGTGTTTTCCGCTTTTCTGCCTCTCTTCCTGTTTTCGTTTTGCGAAGTCTGTCCCTTGTGTCCGTGCTCTTTCCCGGTTTCTTCAAGTGAATACCAAGGGATTTGAACTCGTGACCTTTTTTTTCCGCCCTTAACATCCTGAGAAATCCTACGGTCCCTTGGTGATAAGAGCACCGAAGGGATCGAGGATTTCTTTCGGATGGCTCCAAACCTATTGGTGGGGACCAGCACCTGCTTGAAATTTGAACTCATGACCTGTTTATGAGCACGTGTAGTTTTGTGCCCTTTAGCAGGAGGAGCATCTGCATTTGCCTTGACGGCCGGCAAGACTGAGTAACTGTCAGCTCCGCCCTTGCAGCTGAGTGGTACACTGTTGTTGATGAACCGATCGAGAGCTCAATTCGCATAAGGATGGGCACCCTGTTCGGGCGCCAAGGGCATATACTCAGACTCTCAACCGAGCGTTGACGTGTCGGCTGTGAGGTATTTTTTGAAAATCCTACCGTCTTCCCCCGAACATAACGCACCCTAAAAAATGAATGTATACAAGCTATATTTTCGGCCAGATACAGCGAAAATGAGGGTGCGTTGTGTTCGGGGGAAGACGGTAGTGTGACTGTGCGTCAGGAACCCGGAGTGGAAGTACAGATGGACGAAGCTGGGCGCGTTTGAAAGTTGGTCGTCTGAACTGTTTGCCAGGCGGTAAAATAAAAATGGCGGGAAATACTCCCAAGGTAAAAAAAAAATGGCGGGAAAGACGCCCAAACAAGGAAATCGTCAGGTGTTCGGCCACCCACGTTTTTGCTTTCTTTTTCGTTTTGTTTTGTTTTTCTCTGAATTCGTGCCCCTTGGGATTGTCGCCCTATTAACCTTATTGCTTACGCGGATGAGCCACTTAGGACGGTGGGCAGATTTTTTTCTCCCGCCTAAAGTAGAAGCCACTTTCCCGCTCAAAATAGTGGAAAGGACTACGCTGCTATGGCGTATGTGGGGCAGATTCCACCGTGCTGGCCAAGTATGGTCTGTCCATCACATGCGCGAAATTCTCCTTACTTTCCGCCCCAGTCCTGTTTCCAGCCATTGGGAGGAAAAAATGTGGCCTCAAACTGGAAGGGCGGGCGGTTTTCCTCCCCCCAAAAGTAGCGGAAACGACTCTCCCGCCAAAAAAACCTGATAAGGACGATGCTGTGTGGCAGGCAGTTGAATTCTGCACTCGTCCATCTTCCCCCAAATAAAACGCCCGGTGAGTACAGCTGGATTTAGACCAACTTTCATTCTAGATACGGCGATATTGACCGTACGCTCTATCCGGGTAAAGACGGTAGGCGGTTAAGTCCAGTAGTAGAAAGCGACACAAGGTTCAGTTCTAACCCGGGGCTAGGTCCCACTTACACGAATTAAGCGATATTGACCGTAGATAGCAGAGGTCAACGGCTAGAATCTTTTAATCCGTGCAAGTGGGACCTTGCCCCCGAGTCGCACTGGGCAGGGCAGGGAAGGGAAAACCCTGTGGGAATTTGCCAGGACCACCTCGTAAGGCTAACTACTCCGAGGGCAGATATTTACACTCGATGGCTCTGCGCATGCTGTCATTTCCAGAAAGCATATTGGTTTTCTAGCCATGGGCGGCCGTATGTCGGCAGCATTGTTTTGTATGCAGGCAGCATTGTCTCCCGCCAGCGCCAGACCACCTGATGACCAGAAGGGTGGATAGACAGCAGAAACGCGTGGCATTTGGAGAAAGCACATTGTTCATTTTTCATGAACTCGCCTAACTCCACTTTGTACACCCAAGACCGTTCAAGTGAGTTCGAATACAGACCTGAGTTCGAATTCGATTCGATGGAATCAGACCTGAGTTCGAATTCGAATTCGAACTCAGGAACTCAGGTCTATACAAAGTGTCAATAATTCCTCCCTAATCAATTGAATCAGACCTGAGGTCGAATACATTTGTATGGAC